CAAAATTCCAGCAGGAACTGCATTGCTGTCTGCCTAAAATTAGCCCTGGCTCACAGCATGAGACAGTGTGTTCTAGGTGGTGACGTGGCACCTGCATACGCACCCCTGGCAGTCCTCTCTAAACTCAGGCAGTGCACATGGCTGCTGTCACTGCCAGCCTCAGCATCCGTGAGATGAGGGAGTTGCTCCCCAGTGCACGTGCCTGGATACAGGCCACATGGATCTGCCATTGCTTTTCACAGGAGCGCCTAGAAAAGGCCGATAGCCCTCCCAGTTGTCCTTTTTGTCCTTGGTCCTCTCCCTTCCAATCCCCACTGGCTCAGATCCACAGAGTGACAAAGAAGAGAGATGCCCAGAGCATCAGCTGGAGTGGCAAGTGGGAGAAGGTGCTGCTGGTGCCACAGGGGTCTCGCGCCAGCTTTTGCACCATAACCAGGGTTCACTGAGGAGTAGGTTCCTTTGAAATGTTCTTGTTGTTATAAGGGCAAGCGAAAAAAAAATGAGGGCATCTATATCAAATAAGAGAGATACCTCAACTATCTCATTTTTGCATGGAAATTTCATTTTTATTTGATAATCATTTGAGAAACTTGCACAGATAAAGGCAAGTTGGTTTTATTATCTAACCTATGTAGTCAATTCTAATGTCATTTAAAAGAATTTAACTTGTGTTAAAATACACACAAAATTTACCATCTTATCCATTTTAGGTGTGCAGTTTAGTGGCATTAAATACATTCATATTGTGCACCCTTCTTTACTGTGTATCCCTAAGTTCAGGTTTACAAGATAAGCTTTTGTCATCGTGTAAAACTGAAGCTTTGTACCCATTAAACACCAACTCCCTATACCTATCCACCAGCCCCTGGCAGCCTCTGTTCTACTTTGTCTCTTTGAATTTGACTACTTTAGGGACCTTGTCTGAGTGGAATCAGAGGAGATTTGTTGTTTTGTGACTGGCTTATTTCACTCAGCATAATGTCCTCAAGGTTCATGCAAGTTGTAGCATGTGTCAGGATTTCTTTTAAAGGCTGATGACACTCTGTTCTATGGATAGACCACATTTCGTTTGTGCATTCATCTGTTGATGGACACTCGAGTTGCTTCCACCTTTTAGCTATTGTGAATATTGCTGCTGTAAACATGGGTGTGCAAATATCTGAATCTCTGCTTTCAATCATATGGCAATTCTATGTTTAATTTCTTAGGGAACTGCTATAACTGTTTTCCATGGTGGGTGCACCATTTTACATTCCCACTGAAGGCTCCAATTTCTCCACATCTTTGTCAACAACACCTATTTTAATAATTGCCATCCTATTGAGTATGAAGTGCTATCCTACTGTGATTTTTATATGCATTTCCCTGATGACTAGTGATGTTGATTATCTTTGTTTGTTGGCCATGTATATGTCTTTTGGAGAAATGTCTGTTCACGCCCTTTTTCCATTTTTCAGTCGGGTGTGCATTTTTATTGTTGAGTTCTAAGAGGTCTTTATATGTTTTGGGTATTCACCCCTATCATATATGTCATTTGCAAATACTTTATCCCAGTCCATGGACTGGTCGCACTCTGTTTTGTCCTTTGATGCACAGTTGTTTCTCTCTTTTAGTTAGCTGTGGCTATGGTGTCATATCTAAGAAATTATTTCCAAATCCATTGTTAAAATTTTATGTTGGCCGGGCGCGGTGGCTCAAGCCTGTAATCCCAGCACTTTGGGAGGCCGAGGCGGGTGGATCACGAGGTCAAGAGAGCGAGACCATCCTGGTCAACATGGTGAAACCCCGTCTCTACTAAAAACTATAGAAAATTAGCTGGGCATGGTGGCACATGCCTGTAATCCCAGCTACTCAGGAGGCTGAGGCAGGAGAATTGCCTGAACCCAGGAGGCGGAGGTTGCGGTGAGCCGAGATCGCGCCATTGCACTCCAGCCTGGGTAACAAGAGCGAAACTCCATCTCAAAAAAAAAACTTTTATGTTTTTCCTAAATGTTTTAGTTTTAGCTCTTAGTTTAGGCCTTTGATCCATTTTAACTTTTACATATGGTGTGAGGTAGATCCAACTTGATGTGGAAGACCAGCTGTCTAGCAACATTTGTTGAAAAGACTGTTCTTTCTCCCTTGAATGGTCTTGGCACTGTCAAAAATCATTTTACCCGTAAGTGGAAGGGTTTATTTGGGGATTTGCTATTCTGTTCTATTGGTCTATATGATTGTCTTTGTTTCAGTACAACACCATTTTGATTATTGCAGGTAGCTTTGTCATAAGTTTTGAAATAAGGATGTGAGAGCCCCTACTTTGTTCCCTTTCAAGATTGTTTTGGTTGTGTGAGGTCTCTGGAGATATCCTGAGTTTCAGGATGGATTGTTCTATTTCTGCAAAAAAAGAAAAAAAAAAAAAACGCCACTGGAATATTTTGATAGGAATTGCATGAAATCTGTAGATCGCTTTGAACTGTGGACATCTTAACTATATTAAGGCTTCCAATTCACAAACATAGATTGCTTTCTATTTATTTGTGTTGACTTTACTTTCTTTCAGCAATGGTTTATTGGTTTTCAGTGTACAAGTTTTTTACCTCCTTAAGTTTATTCCTAACTACTTCGTTTATTTTGTTACTATTATAAATGGAATTTTCTTAACTTCCTTTTGAGATTGCTTGTTATTGTGTAGAAATATCATGGATTTGTTATGTTGATTTTGTAACCTACAATGTTACTGAAATTGTTTATTCAGGTTTTTTGTATATGTATGAACTCTAAGATTTTCTACATATAAGATCATGTCATCTGAAAACAGATAATTTTGCTTCTTCCTTTCCAGTTTGGATGCCTTTTATTTCTTTTTCTTGCCTATTTGCTCTGCTAAACCTCCAGTACTGTGTTGAATAGAAGTGGTAAGATGTGGTATTTATGTCTTGTTCTTGATTTTAAAATATGTGCTTTCAGTCTTATTGAATATGATATTTACTGGGATTTTCATATGGCCTCTACTATGTTGAGGTAGTTTCCTTCTATTCCCAGTTGAGAGTTTTTATCATGAAAGGGCATGAGACTGTGTGAAACGTTTTTTCTGCATTAATTGGGATCATATGTTTTTCTCCTTCATTCTGTTAATATAATGTGTATTACATTTATTGACTTGAGCATGTTGAAACTTCTTTGTATCCCAGCTATAAATCTCACTTGGCCATGATGTGTAATCCTTTCAATGTGCCATTGAATCCTGCTGGCCAGTATTTTATTGAATGTCGGTAACAAAAATCTTGATTAGGAATACTGGTATGTGGTGTTCTTTTCTTGTCTGGTTTTGGTATCAGAATAACGCCAGCCTCATAGAATGCATTTGGAAGTGTGCTTTTCTCTGCCTCAGTTTTTTGGAAGTGTTTGAGGAGAATTGATATAATTCTTCAAATGTTTGGTAGAATTCTACAGTGAAGCCATATGGCCCTGGTGTTTTCTTTGTTGGGAGGTTTTTCATTACTAATTCAGTTTCTTGACTACCACAGGTCTCTTCAGATTTTCCATTTCTTCATGATTCAATCGTGATAGGTTGTGTGTTTCTAAGAATTTGTCCAACTCATCTAGGTTATGCAATTCATTGATACACAATTGCTCATAGTACCCTTAATACCTTTTATTTCTGTAAAATCAGTTGTAACGTCCCCTCCTTCTGGTTTTATTTTTCTTAGTCACACTAGCAAGAAGTTTGTCAGTGTGGGTTGACCCAGCAAACTCTTGGTTTCATTTATTTTTCTCTCTTGCTTTGCTGTTGTCTATTTTGTCTCTGACCTAATTTCCTCCATTCTGCTGGTTTTGGGTTGTTAGCTCTTTCTTTTGTAGTTATTTCAGGTGTAAATTTAGGGTTGACTTGAGATCTTAATTTTTTAAGTATGTACAGTTATAAATTTCCCTACCATTGCTTTCACTGTATCTTTTTGTATGTTAGGTTTAAATTTTCATTTATCTCAAGATATTTTCTAATTTCTCTGTTAATCCACTGGCTGAGAGTATTGTTTAATTTTCACATAATTGTGTACTTTTTGTTTTTTCTTCTGTTACTGATTTTTAGTTTCATCCCACTGTGGCCAGAAAAGATAATTTTTATTTTTTCAGTCTTTTGAGGTCTAACATGCTGTCTATCCTAGAGAAAGGTCCATTTGCACTTGAGAAAAATGTGTGTACTGCTGTTGTTTGGTGGAGTGTTCTGTATATGTCTGTCAGGTCCAGTTGGTACGACACTGTTCAAGTTTTGTCTTATGACTGATCCTCTGGTTGTCCTGTCCATTACTGCGAGTGGGCTATTGAAGTCTCCTACTCTTACTATAGAACTATCCGTTTCTTCCTTCAATTTTGTTTCATGTATTTTGGGGTTCTGATGTTTTGTGCATATATATTCCATCTTCTTGGTGAGTTTTCAACTTTTAAATGTCAGCAGCATGAAGATGAAATTATAGGACGTCTGGAATTTCCTTTGAATCCATGGGGCTGGGAGTAAGTATAGATGAAACAAGATTGGCTGGGAATTTGAGGCTGCAAGGATAGGTACACATCAGGATGTAGAGCAGGGCACAACACTTTTTCTGTAAAGGAGCAGATGGTAAATATAGTTGGCTTTTCCAGCCATGTCTTGCCACTTTGCAGTAGTAGCATGAAGCAGCCACCAGGGAGCCACACACCAGTATGTGTGGCTGTGTTCCAGTCAAACTCTATGGACACTGAAGTCTGAATTTCACATGTTTTTCATATGTCATTAAATACTACCCTTTTACATTTTTTCACCATTGAAAAATCTAAAAATCATCCTTAACATATGGGCTGTGCAAAAACAGGTGGTGGTCCAAATTTGGCCTGTAGGCTATAGCTTGCCAACCCAATTTACACTTGTCTTTTTTGTATCTATTTGGTATTTTCCATTAAAAGTTTATAAACGTTACTTTTTGTACTTGTTACTGTTTTATTGTAAAAATAATGTGTTTTCATTGTAGAAAGTTTTTTAAAAAGGCAAAATACGCAAAAATGTTACCTATGAATTATGAGAATTACTTCAAGGTAATTATTTTGAAATGTCTTTCCAACATTTTGTCTTATATTGCTTTTTAAGATGCATAACATGATCCCAAATAAACAGTTAAATATTAGGACACATACCACCCTCCTTTCTCCTTTTGTCCAGAAACTCACCCGTGTGGAGCTGCATCTCCCAGGAAAGGAGACTCCAGAGGGAACTGCCTTCTTGCAGTTCTCTAGCCTCTATTCTCAAGGGAAAGATGTGTATCTTCATGATGAGCCTTGGAAAATTCTTACCATTTCCTTCTGTCTTAAATAGCACCAGTTTTAGTTTTAAAGTCTCCAAGGAGAAGAGATTTCTTAAACCCTGGTTTCCAAAGAATAAAAAAATTGCTTCTCAAAACTTAAAGCAAATGGTATTTTCCATCACCCCATCCCATCCAGATTTGTTCAGCTTCCTTGAAAATAATTTATGTAAATTTAATTTTTAAAATCATATTTTCCTAAAATTCTAAACAGATATAATGCCAAAGGGATCAATATCATCACTTGTTGTGAAAGCTAAAATTCTACTAAACCTTTATCAGTAAGTGAAAATATCTTTGCAACTCTGAAAAAACATGCTGAGACATTAATTTCTAAATACTTAAATGGGGGCAGGTGCAGTCACTCACACCTGTAATCCCAGCACTTGGGGAGGCCAAGGCCAGAGGATTGCTTGAGGCCAGGAGTTTAAGAGCAGCTTAGGCAATATAGCAAGATCTCATCTCTAAACACACACAAAAAATTAGACAGGCATGGTGGCATACCTATAGTCCCAGCTCCCAGAGGTGGAAGCTGCAGTGAGCTCTGATCGTGCCACACTGTACTCCTGACTGGGCAACGGTGTAAGACCCTGTCTCAAAAAATATATAAATATTTAAATGTCTCCACCCAAATTGATAGGCTTATAGTACAAGGAGGTCACTGTTACTGATGGACATACTTGAAAGAGATGAAACCACTCACAGACACTGGTAAGAGAACAGTTGGTCACCAAAAGACAAAGATGCCAGCATGATGATGATGATAACCTTCAAACATAATCAGAAACCTGGTGGATGGAGATTTGCCAAGAAATGGCAGGTTTTGGAGATATAGTAACCAAAACCTAGAGAATGGTGTGGGGAGTCTGAAATACCTCGTAAAGGTAACAAGCCCTTCGGTGGTGATGAAGCCAGCCTTTGAGTCCGAGAAAGGCACAGAAGAAACCCGCATGTTCCCAAGGCACACGTGCCAGGAGAAAACAAGCCCACCAGCAGGAGGCCGGCCGGTAATACTCAAGTAACACTCACCTGCTGGTGAGAGGAGACAAAGCCCTAGCCGCATCAACCCCGGCTCAGGACTGCCCATGCACCCCCCGACAGGCTCAGCGTCATTCATGCTCCTTATCTGTTAACCCCTTCCCCAAACCCTGCTCTTCCAGCTGATGGCACACACACTGTGCCACACGTGTGGCAGAAAGGATAGCCACGCGTTTGGAAAGCTGGAGGTTCAGTCGCTCCCCAATTACTGTTTTCCCTCTAAAAACTTAAAGTGTCACATTTCAAAACACCAGCTTATTTAGTAAACCAGTTTTTCTGTACATAGACAAGCGCTTCTCTGGGGTCCCTATGTCTACACAGAGTTGGTCACTGCAGTGGACTCTGATCTACCTTAGAGATGGCTGGTACAAGTTTACCAGCTGTCAACCTTAAAAGAAGAGGCTTAGAAAATATGGGGAAGGCTCAAGTGCATCCGAGCACACAACTTCACAACGGCCACCAGGGGGACGGGCTCCACACAAACAGGGTCAGTGTTCCCCAGTGGGAAAGTTAAGGCATCGCTCCTACAGGGAGGGGCTGAGATGTCAATATGTGTGCCACAGTGATTTGGCCCATTACAATGGCTGCATTCTGCAAAGTGAGGGAGCAGTGATCGCAGGGTCCTTGTCTCTGGTGCATTTGGTCGTTTATAGGGAAAGAAAGGCAAAGGTGGCCGCTGCATACTTTATGACTGCAGGTGCATAGCTGCATCCCTTCCAAGAGTCAATGTTTTGAATGCTTTTTAAAATTTCAGTTTCAGTTGGCACAGGTGCAGGTTTGCTGCATGGCTGTGTTGCATGATGTGGTGTTTGGGCTACCTTTGAACTCATCACCCAAACAGTGAAGGTAGCTTTTCAACCATTGTCCCCTCCCCCTCCTTCCCGCCTCCCTTTTGGAGACTCCAGAGTAAAATTCCACTGACTTTAAGTTTGAATTGTATTAAGTTTGACTTACTCAGTTTCATACAGCTTTATAACCAAAGGCCACACAGTCATGCCACCTCTTAGGAAAAAGCAAGGCGTTCTGTGGATCTTAGCTCTTATGTGAGCGATGTGTACTCATGCAGACTTCAAGCTCGCCTCTCCCTCCTCCTCAATTCAGGAACCAGCGAGGGGAAGGTGATGGGCTGTGACGTAGGTCACACTCACAGGATCCCTGTAGCGTGGAAACAAAACTGTCTTTTGATCTCTAGGTGGTTAGGCTGTTTCTAATTCCCATGGAAATTTTTTTACTAGTGCCTACCATAAAGCTACTTACATTTGTGTTGAGGGAGATCAAATGGCCTCAGCTGCATTTTCATTGCTGTGACCTCTTTTCTGGACCTGAGAGGGAATATGGCAGGTACCTGCCCTGGCTCTCTGTCCGCAGAAGAGGTGCCAGGACACAGCTCTGGAGAACATGAAAAGGGCACAACTGAGAAATGCTTAAGGAATACAGGGAGCCAGATTAAGGATCCAGTTGTTACCACCTGAGCCTAATGTTACCACTGATCATGGATGTCAGACACTACGTGGCCCTGCTGTGCACAGGGGCCCAGGAGCTACCCTGAAAGAAAGCAGCAGCTTGGATGAACCGAGCTTTAGATCCAACTTCTTCCTTGCAGTAAGTGCACAGGATGCAGGAGTGAATTAAACACCTCAAACAAACAACAGTGTGTTCAGGAAAAGCTGGGAGGGAAGGGACACAGGGGCTCCTGCTTCCAATATCGAAAGATTTCAGAGACAGAACCACCACATATGATACATGATCATGGATTGGCAGAGAGAAAAGCAGCTAAAAGGTGTGGGAACGTGTGTGTGTGTGTGTGTGTTAGATATAGGAAATTAATTTTGTTAAGTGTGTCTCTTCAGAAATACATGTTGAAGTACTTGGGGGTGATATGGTGTCTAGTTTACTTTTAGATGGTCAGATATGTATGCACACAAAGCAATTAAGACAATTATTGAATCTCAGTAGCTGCGTTTATGGGTGTCCGTTGTACTAAATGCTTTTGCGTAGATTTTTTTTTCATCATTAAAAAAAACACTTAAAAACTGAAATACTTGTCAATCCCCCACCCCGAAAAAACCAAATTGAAATACACCTGGTTATGAGAATTAACCACTATTTAGAGGATTAAGTGTGATTTGTTTGTCATCCTTCGCCCCACTGGCCTCAGGAATTGAAAACACTTTAAAGGGAGAAAAACTGTGACCACGAGCCTGCACCCTATCTCCTCCTGTCTGCTTCTTGTGTCAGAGCCACTGAGGGAAAAATCACTATTTAAATTTTCACAACGGCTAGGTGCTGTGGCCTACACCTGTAATCCCAGCACTTCAGGAGACTGAGGCAGGAGGATCACTTGAGCCCAGGAGTTGGAGGTTATACTGAGCCCTGACCATGCCACTGCATTTCAGCCTGGGTGACAGCAAGACCCTGCCTCTAAAACACATTTTTTAATGAAAACAAAAAGTAAATTGTCACACATTCCTAAGATGCATTAGGCTTTGCGGAGAGATGGCCTTTCTTGTTCACCATTGAGCTTAGCATTTCCTGCTGTTAAAATTAGAATAACCTTTATTCAGGATGTGCTCCTCCGAGATGAAACGGATGTCAGATTCTGGGAGCCAGAGGAACACACTGCGACGCACTTCCAGACTCAGAGGAAGAGTGAGCAGGCACATGGACTCTTAGGAAGACGTCCAGGGCCAGGGGACAATCATTGTGTGTTCACCATCAGCTCTGATAGCCCAGCTTGAAGCTTCCTTCTAAAGACAGAGACTGAGCAGAGACCCCATGTGTCCTGGGTCCCCAAGGGATAAAAGCAGAATGTGCAGGAACCTGTGCAAATGAACCCATGACCCTGGACAGCTAGCAGACCTTAAAAACGAATTCCAGATACAAGCCTGTATTCTTAAACATCTGCCTAAGGCTGCCGTGGATCAAATTCTGAAAGATACCTTGTTGCCCTAGAATGTCTCCCAAAACTCAGTAAGCCACTAGTCTCCCGACTCTGTCCAGAGACTTGGCTCCCACCTCCCCCAATTACATTCCCTTTTTCCATCAAATCCATGCTCCACACAAAGAGGAGAATAGCACCTAATTCTGATTCACAAAAACATCTACCCATGGGCTGGTGTCCTGCAGGGCCCAGCCTTGGCCTTAAGAGAAGGCCAGGGTTGGGGGTATGACACCAGCCGCCCTCAAGAGCTGTGTCTCACCTCACACAACCTCCCCAGTGCATACTTCGGATGAGGTAGAAATGCCACTAGCCCTACTTCCTGTTGACATGGGGACAATGATCCCCTCTAGGGTTCAGAACCAGGATTTAGACCCAGAAGTGGACTTAATGGCCTCAAGGGAGAAAAAGCAAGAGCAGAGCAGAAAATGAACAGGAAGGGACCACAATGGACAGTGAGTCACAGAAGAGGGCCTGTTTCAGAAGAAAGCAGCAGTCTCTTCGGAGTGGCACGCAAGTGAGAGGAGCTGTGGGTCAGGGCACCAAGGAGCCAGCCAGGCAAGCAGGGCCCTTGGTGGCACAGGTGCCCCAGGATCTGCAGGAGGATTCAGTGAAAGTGCATGCCCAGAAGCTGCAGGTGAGCCTGCCAAGAACACCTCCCACGTTGAGTTGCCCACACTCCCCAGGCTCGGCCCCTTGCTGGGCTGCCTGACAGTTCCAGCCCTGCAGCCCCTCCTCACAGGGCCATGGGCCTCCCACCTTTCCCATCTCTGTCCTCACCCACTAGCTTCCTCAGCAAGTAATTCTTTAAAGTGAACCCATTTAAAGAATATTAAGTATGTTATAGATGGCACTCATGTGACAAAAATGAAAATTCCAACAAACAACCACCACTCCCCTAGACTTTTCTCATGTAAATGGAAGGGCGTTTCAGAACCTCAGTGGCACATACTGCCAGGGCCGGCCTCCTCCCATCTGCTCTCTGGGCACAGTGCTCAGCCCTGGGAGGAGCCAGTGCAGCTGTCACGCAGGCATCTCCTGTAGGCGTCTCACGAGGGTGGCTGTCGTGCAGGCGTCTCACAAGACTGGCTGTCATGTGGTGGCTGCAGAGGAAGCAGTCATGGTATCGGACTGGGAGGCAGCAGGCATGGGACCCAAAGGTAGTCACTGTCACCTGGGCCTACAAACCCTGGGGACCATGTCCCAATGGAAGCATCACCCTGGGCCACGACCCTGAAACACTAGAGCAGATTTGAGAAGATGCTTTCACGTAGACTGGAGGGAGACAAAAGTAGCTTCCTGGCACTTGGGTGGTAGGTGGCTGGGGCTGCATGTGGAGCTGGGAAGCTGGCCTGAAGGCTGATAGCTCCTCTACCGAGAGCACCCCAGACCCCGACCTCAGCAGCATGCAAGGGTTGGGGAGGAAATGCCTTTAAGGTGATTGTTTTAAGTATTTAATAGAAGGTACTGCAGTCGGGCCAGGCTGAGGCCAGGCCCACAAGTGGATCCTGCAACAGAGCACAGCTAAGATCAGTAGAGGCCCAAAGTAGCGAGTTGCCCAGGCCACACTCGTGTTGCTGGCACAGGCCACGGCCTCCTAAGACAGTACTCTGGCCACCACACACCTTATGAGGGATGCCATCCACCCGGCCAGGGGAGGCCCAGACTTGACACAGAGGCCCCAGAACCACACAGCACCAACCCCCATCAGGGCCTGGCAGCTTCCAAACAAGCTCAAGGCTCAACAGCTGTCTGCCTTGGTGCAAAGATCCAAACTTCAGCATCTGACCCCAAAACCCACACCAGAGGGGGACCTTGCGGAAGGTCATAGTGGGAGGGGGGAGGTGGTGCCTTCCAGAAGGGAGCCCTGACACTCTCATAATGGCTCAGACCTGGCGCAGGCATAGCCCTCTCGTGCTCAGACCCTGGGGAGGTGGCCTTGGCCTCTAACCTGCCGGTCCTGAGCAGGCTGTCCCTGATGGTCTGTGTGAGCTTCTCTGCCCCTATGATACTTGGCCTCATTCCTGGGAAATGCTGCATAAATACCCACAACTGAATGAAGGTTGCCCTGTTCCTCCTCACCTCAGCCTGTAGTCTCTCTTCATCATCTGGTGTCATTCCACCTGCAACAGAACAAACTCATTCCTGGAATTCAAGAGCGGGACTCTTGGACCTCACTGAGCATCTATAACGGGCACAGCAATGCCAGCCTTGCAGGACTGTGCTAGGGTCCCAGAGGGAGGCAAGGGCATAGCATGAGGGTCTGACAGGGTTGGCACAGATAGGTGATGGAACCTGCTGGGGCCCAGCAGGGCAAGGCCATAGGCTGGTGTTGCTGCTCTAAGACCTTCCACCTGTCCCCTCCCTAAAAAGCAATGGGAGCTCAGGCAGACGTGGCCTGAGCTCATCCCACCTGACCGCAGCAGCGGCAGCCAAGCCTCCTCCAAAGTCAACAGGAACAGGTGGGCAGCATGGTCAGATGGCCCTGCCACTTGTCACTGTTTAAAAATTGGGTTACTGGGGGATCGATCCAAGATGGCCATTTAGGAAAAGCTCAGGATTGCAACTCCCAGTGAAAGCGCAGAGGGTGAGTGGATGCCGCATTTTTATTGCCCACAGACTAGGAAATTCCCAGGGGGAGAAGCCCTACGGGTCGCCAGTGCAGCTGTGTCGGCCAGCGCGGCTGTGTTGGCCGGCCTGGCTGCTTTGCCCCGTGCGGCTGCTTTGTCAGCGCCCTGGCGCAGCGGTTCTCCGTACAAAATACGCTGGTCTGGGTGCCCTTCTGGCTGGCAATTGGAGGCACGGAAAGTCACCCACTCATCTGTTTAAAAAGGGGATGGAACAGGGAACCAGGACAGTAGATTCCAGGGCAAAAAAAGCGCCAGGAATCTCAGTGCCGCTGTTTAAGCCAGCACAGTGAGTTGCCGCACAGGAAAACACACAGATTCCGGCGCCTCTTAAACAGGCAACTGGAACACCAACTTTAAAAAAAAAAAAAAGGCTCTGAGGCAGGGAGCCAGGCGATCAGGCTCATCTGGTCCCACCCCTACAAAAGAACAACAATCAGAAACTCTCTGGATTGAGAGCTTCACAGCAAGTGCAGCTGAACCCAGGATGGTCCAGCTCTGTGGGGGAGGGACATCCGCCATTACCGAGGCACTCCAACACTCTGGAGGTAGTCAGCCAATGCTGAGGCAGCCCACAGTTGCCAAGGCAACCCGCCATTACATAGAGAGTCTGCCAATACAGAGGTGGGCTACCATTGCCAAGGCAGTTGAAACTACATCCATATAAACAGGACTTCAGGGAAGTTCACTTGGCAGCTGGGCGGAGCCCACAGCAGCCCAGCAAAGCCTCTACAGGCAGACAGTGACTAGGCTGCCTCCTTGCTGGGCATGGCAGATCTGAAGGAAAAAAAAAACAAGGCAGCAGCACAACGGAAGCTCATAAATAAAGCCCTAACTCCCTGGGACAGAGCACCTGGGAACAAAAAGCGGTTAATGAGTTCTGCTGCAGCAGACCTGAACATACCTGCCCAGCAGCTCTGAATGAACAACGGAGCTCACAGCTCAGCATTTCAGCTCCTACAAAGAACAGACTGTCTCCTCAAGCAGCTCTCTACCCCTGCATATCCAAGGAGCCACCTGATAAAGGAGAGATCAGACAGACACTTGGCGGCTATCCTTCTGGGACAAAGTTAGCAGAAGAAGAAAACTGGTAGCAACCCTTACTGTTCAGCAGCTGCTGCAAGTGATCCCCAGGCAAGCAGGGTCTGGAGTGAACCTCAGCAGGCCTACAGCAGAGGGGCCACACTGTCAGAAGGAAAACCAAGAAACAGAAATACCCTCATCATCAACAAACAGAACATCCACTCAGAGACCCAATCTGAAAGCCAGCAACTACAAAGACGACAGGTGGATAAATCCATAAAGATGGGAAGAAACCAGCGCAAAAAGGATGAAAACACCAGACACCAAAACACCTCTCCTCCAAGGGATCACAACTCCTCACCAACAACGGAACAAGGTTGGATGGAGAACGAGTGTGATGAAATGACAGAATCAGACTTCAGAACGTAGGTAGTAAGAAACTTCTATGAACTAAAAGAACATGTTCTAACCCAATGCAAAGAAACTAAGAACCTTGAAAAAAGATTTGACGAAATGATGACGAGAATGGA